AATGGTTCAATCATTGTCAAAAGAGAAATTCGATCATTATCCTCCCTTTTTATAAAATTAAATTTAATAAATGCCATTGAAATCTAATTACATGATTAAAAAAGGACGAGATCGTTCTTACCGCTACCGAATATTGGTACTTGTATGTACGTAAAAGGAATATTTAATATAATAATTAAAACCATATGCAGACTTGTTTGTTTGAGCCTGAAATCCAACATATAAAGGTAACAAGATACACACATCAAGGTAATAAAAATTTCCCTTGAAAAGGCAAATTTGGCAAACCGACGAAGTATGCATGCAAGGTTATCAGTTCATAACAATATCTGTCTAATTTGGCTAAAGCAATAGTTTTTTTTTTTTTTTGATTGCCATTTCCGTGCCTGAACATCTTGACTATCATTTTTGGTTTCATAAAAATACTTACCTTTTGTCGGTTAATGTGATTTCCCTAGTTTTTGAATTTCGGTTATTACTTCGAGATATAGATTTTTTTTTGTGACGTAGATTATACATACTTTTGCATATTCTTGTGAGAAAATTTTAACATCATTTTGTACCATTCCAAATATTTACCGGTAAAGTAAGCGAATTATGCATTCAATAAGTGACATAAGTTCACTTATTTAAACCACAAAAACACAAGCGAAATAAAATGCAGGAAATAAGCAGGGTAATACATAAAAATATCAGCATAAATTTGACCCAATCATATTATTTTTCTAGATGCGTGTAACCACTATTCTGCTTATCATTAACCAATAATATTTTTTCATATTTTAAAAAAACTTCAACACTTTCTTTCAAATTACGACGATCTATTTTCCACACTCGAAAAAAAGAAATATTCCTTCATTTTTTAAACCCTATATAACCTTCGGGACATTCACGCAGCCGCGATACTATCTCGTCGTATATCTCTTTTTTTTTACGATATAAAAAAAAATATATAATATATATATATATATATATATATAATATAATATATATATTTATATAAACATAGACTTTATAGATTTTTGTTAGCGAGATATGTTTATGTTATATTTTAACGTTGAAAGCGCCAAAAGCAAAAATATATAAACAAAAAAAAAAAAAAACTCTAGTTACATTACATATATTCACCTTTTCTTTATCGGTTCTTGTTTTACTTTTTCAAAGACTGTGTCTTTGGTTCTGTTTGAGGGTTTGGTGGGCTCACTTTTATTTCCTTTTTATTTCCTTTAAAATCTTTTTTTTTTTCCAAAAAAAATTTATCTACATATAATTCGCATATTCGTTGAATAGCTTGACGGGTAATAAAAAAAAATCTCATAAATAATTTATACTTAATCAAAACAAATAATATGTTCTCAGCAAATAAACGAAAACAATTTACTTCATCAAACTCCAATGATACGATCCCCCAAATACCACGTCGAAATGTTAATTCTTCATCAAAGACCTCCTCCACAAAAATAGTCCCAAAACTCGTACTGCAGAAAGACATCAAGGCTCCAAAAACTTCTGATACCTCCGAAGTAGCTGCTGATGCTGCAACAATAACGAGAACTACTACCACTACTACCGTTACTACCGTTACTACCACCATTTCGGCTAAAAATCCTGATGGAAGTGGTCCTCTTTATCTTGATCTTGGTGATTTTAGTTTTTCACCTCTTGAACCTGATGAAAACGGTGACCTGCTCACTAGCAGTTCGATTTCTTCTATCGATGATGCAAAGAAAACTGCCAGTTCTACTTCTTCTCCAATTACTAGTAATAGTAGCATTTATGATACTCCAACTATTAAACTTACTTCAAAAAATCTTTCTGACCTTGATGGTTCTTCAAATGATCAATCAAAACAAACTTCTCCCTTTTCAAAAAAAGGTTTGTCGAATATTAATTCGCAAACTGATAACATTCCAAATTATTTAAAACCTCGAAAACCACATCATCTTAAACGTATGGAATCTGCTCCTGTAATACATACTCCTAATGTTTCGACAAATGATGAAAAAGAAAAAAATTCTATTCCTACTGCTAAATCATTGACAAATTTAAATAATAATAGTAATATTAATAATATGTCTCCAAAAATTGAAACAAAACCGGGTTCTGAAACACCGATACAATATCTTGAAAGAATGCGTTATACTCTTTCAAAATCAAATTTAGCCACAATGCTTGCCAAGAAGTGTGTAATTTATACTATTATGATTATTTCTCGATTTTTTTTTTTTTTTTTTTAGTAATCTTTATTTGCTTATCATCATATTTGTTTATAGATCTGACGTGTTTCATCAAGCTGCACTTAAAGCTTATATGGAATCATTCAATTTTGAAAAAGATCCTATTGATATCGCGTTAAGGTATGTGATAAATCAAATTGTTTAATAGTTTTTTTTGTATTTTTAGGATTTTTAGTATAATTTGATAGTGTTCAACAGTATCCATTA